CTCATTCCCAGGTCATCAAATACATACTTGAGCGGTGTTCAGTTATTTGCTTCAGCAACTTTACCGCTAGATATCAACAAATCTTACACACTGGTCCTTTCAAACCACCTTTACTTTGTGGTAGTACTAAATAGCAAATGTTAGCATGCTAACTCGCCAAAGCTAGATGGAGAAGATGATTAACACATTATGCCTGTAAAATATCTGCATGTTAGCATTTAACTGAACACATCGCTATGTCCAAGTATAGACTTACAGAGCAACTAGCTTTTGTGACTGCTTAAAAATATTATGGCTAAACTTGGTCTAGCCCCAGTTTGTGCCTCATGTAATGTACTGTCATAGAGCTAAGCATTCATTTTACTGAAAGGTCAATCCCAAATGAAAACCCAGACAGCTGTTTAACACTGGCCCTGTTGGTTTTTCAAAGGTATTTCCAGATTCATCAAAGTTACATCTGGACTTTTGTTTGTACGTTAAACACATTTAAAAAAAAAAAAAAAATAATCTTTTTCACTCTATTTCAAATAAAGGAGGCTTACAAAGCCAGCCGTAATTGAGCCGCATTATAAGATAAAAGATAATAATTAAAGCTGCAAGCAGCGATGATCGGGCCCTCGCAGTCTGTGCACGTCAGAGCGTACTGCAGTTGTGTTGTAGACCAGGCTGTGAAAATGTCACGTATATCAGATCACAACCGCCATACAAGGCTTATTTCCTGTTTCCAGTAGGTGGTGCTATGCCATGAAAAGGCTGAAAAATTACAAAATTAGGTTAATGTCACTTCAAATTACTAAAGCTACTAAATCAAGAATGTTTTTTTTAACTTACAAAATATGTTAAATAAGTTTTACTTAAAATGTTCGACGTAATCAGTTTCAACAATTTTTTGTGTTAAATTAACTTATCTGGTTTCACAGTTTGATAAAATAAAAGATATAATATATATAAAGATATATAAAAATGTATGTAAAGCATATATATATAAATTGCACCTTTAGATGTCTGGCTGTTTGTTGCTCATTACAAGATTAAGAGATGCATTGATGTTGTGTTTATGGTTTAAACAACAGGAACTCCTCCTCATCTGGATGGTTATTGGTCCGATTGACACTGGCAGGCAAAATGATTAATAATCAATTGGGCTCTATCAGCTGTACTAATGTAGAGTAGTGACTGTGCCAGAGGTGAGGGGAGACTAATAGTTTTTACACAAGTATAAATCTCAAGTCATTTATATACATTTCCATTTTCCAGTAGAAACAAGCCTGCAGAGGGTGTGGGGGCGAGTCAGAGCCCACCAGGCGTTTCTTCTCTTGCAGTCAACATTTGCATTTCACACACAGATGCCTGGGGACACAGTTACTTTACTGCTAACAGTACAAGGTGCTGGGGGTGTAGTGCAGGCTGGTAGTTAGTAGTCTCTATCGATCAGTCCTATTACCTAACTCTTTATTAGTCTATGTGGTGTTTTTTTTCTCTGTTCCATAATTCAGGTCCATCTATTTGTTGTGCTGACTATCACCACTGGCAGCAGTTAAACCTTAATCCAAGTTCTGCAAAATGTGACTCCTGTATAAATTTGACATTTTGAAAAATGATGCCAAATGTCAAAAACTGGTTTAATTCTGTTCTGTCTACCCCTCATTGAATAAATTAGTTTTTATTGTAAAATAATGTGTTCAGGTTGTACACACAGCCTCTCTCAAGCTGATCTTCTTTAATTACATTCCGTCTCCATAAAGTGCCATTTCAGTTCTATTTCCCTGTCATGGGTCTAAGCTACAGTTACACAGTGGCTGCCTCTCTGTACGTCGGCAGATGCACACTGCCCCCTAATGGAAACACACAAGAGCTTCACCTAGTTCCTACTCTCATCCGGCCCACTGCAGATCATTTGAATTTCAGAACAGTTCACAGTTTTAAGACAACACTAAGCTGTGGTTTTGAAGTGCTTTAGGTCACTCTAAATCCACCTCTGTGTTGTTTTTTCTATTTGAAAAGTGGTGAGATGGAAAGTCAAATAGATAACGCCTAGGACCCTGGATAATGCGGCAGAGGTCCTTTAAAGCTGCACTTGTCAGTATTTTAATTTCACCGCTAAATGCTACTAAATCCTACACACTGGTCCTTTAAAACTCTACACAACATGTAGCCAACAGACATGATATTACAAAGTCTAGACTAGGTTCTCACTTACTGTGATTTCTGTCTCACGTCACTGAATTCACCATTAACGATTCACCTGAACAGTTTATGATGTTGTATATGGTATTATTGTAATCCTTGACCATCAAAACACAGGGGTAGACATAATCTGTTCTGTATGATCATGTTTGGTTAATAAGACATGTTGCAAAATACATACTGGTAATTCAGTTAGGTAAATCTGACTGTCTCACTGCTCTTATAAACCTCATTTATAAGAGCATGCTCATTATCAGCAGGCGGCTGTTTTCAGCTGAAAGCTCTGATAAACCCACTGTACACTACCTGCCCAGCCTCAAACAGCAGACAGACACAGTTAGAGACTAGATGATAGATATTTTTCTGAGGAGTACAGACCAAAACAGAGCTAAAAGAGAGTGAAAATTACATCCAGCAGGTGACCAGAAACACGATAATGTAGCAGCCATTTGCTAACATGTTCACCATATCAACTTTTATAAAGTTTAATGTCAGTGTTATGTTTACAGCTTTGTTTGTTGCAGATTTTTTTTTTGATTTAGCAGCATCACTGATACCATGGTGTGAAACATCTTCTCCATGATCTCATTCAGTTCTAGCAAGGAGTCAAAACTGATCTGAAGGCTTACAGATGACAGTGACTCAGGGTTCTGCACAGCGGAGGGCTGAGCTAACACAATTTCAGCGCAGACGGTAAAGGTTTGATAAGTGTTAACTGAACTGCCTATAGGCAGCGTTTAGAGGTCGCAGTGTGACCAGTGAAACCCAACACATTGCAAACAGCCGCCCTGGTGCCAAAACCGAAACCCAACCCAGCAGTGACACAGACGCCTCGGCTGTCGACAGCCTGCTACAATTAGCACAAAGGTCAAAGTCTGCTGTTTGTCTCCTGCTCAGGTTGATGTGTGGCCTTGATCACAGGATTATTATTATATAAATTGTAGTCTTATGTGTATTTCACTGCTCTTTTTAATTTTGTCTTTAGTGCTCAGAGCAGTTTCAGTATATTGTTATACTGACCGCTAGTGTCCAAGAGCAATCATAATTGCAAAAGTACAAATAAAAACCACTATACCAAATAATGGCAATTGATCTCACATCGAGGTCCATTTAGTAACTGTTTGGTACTTTTGATCATATCACATGATCTTCATCAACAAGTTGCTAATAGGGCTGTGTACTGGCAAGTATGTGGCAATATCATAAGGATCAAGATACAGGGGTTAGGATTCAATAAAAAAACTGTACTGTAATACTGTGTAATACGGTGAGATATTGCCATTTTCAAAAAAGAATACAATTTTAGGAAAACAGTCATACTATAAAGAGTACACCACATATGCATGAAATCTGAGTTTAAAAAA